GGCAAAAATGTTTTTACCTATATATTATATACACATTTTTTTTTTAGTTTATTTATTTGTTTCGAGAGAGTACGAGTGGGGGAGGGGTAGAGAGAGAGGGAAAGAGAGAATTCCCAATGCGGGGTTCAATCTCACGAACGGTGAGAACATGACTTGAGCTGAAATCAAGAGTCAGACACTTAACTGAGCCACCCAGGTGCCCTTTTATATACTATATTTTACCTATGTTTTCGCTATTTTAGAATTAATTTTCCTCTGTTTTATTGAGATGCAATTGACATTGTTCTTTTAAAAGATGTAGTTACTAGAAAATACAGAATTGCCTATATGGCTCATACTGGTGGCTCACATTATTTACCTACTGGACATGGTTATTCTACGCCCTCGGATTTTTTTCTCATGTGCCTTGCCCTGTTACTATACTTTTTCTTGAGCTGTCCAATTTCCTCATGGGATTGAAGACCATTCTAGTAGGCTGAGGGCTTAGCACAGTGACAAGATACACAGGTACAGCCTCCTTCCATATGATATTGTTAAGGGCCATCACAGAATCACAAATTGTTGCCTTCTCAGAGCAGCAGGGCTGTAAAAGGGCTTTGATGTTGAGCCCAGGTCACCGCAGCATACATGTGTAGTCATCTGCACAGGAGATGAAAGCCCACAATTCCTGGGGGTCAGTTCAGCGCTATTTGTTAGCTCCTTGTTGCTGCAGATACCCCTAAAGCTATTAATACAATTCCAAGGGGCTCTTAATCAGCCTGTTGTTTCTCAAGGTTATTTGAATGTTAATGAGAAATTCCATCTGGGGCATCCCAAATCTATATTATTTAGAGATTATCAGAGTTCTTTGTTGAAGACACTGCAAAACAAACTTTTTACTACTACTGTCCTCTAGGATTTTTGCCCTTCAAAATTAATTGGAGAAATAACAGAACTTTCTAAACGTAGTTCAACTATAATAAAGACCAGTCCTGTTAGATAGAACTTTCTCTGACGGAAATTTCCATTATGGTAAGTGCTGGCAACATGTGGCCATAACATTTTAATACGTTTATATTTACATGAAAATACACACACGGGGCTAGTAGCTAGATGTGATACAGGGCAGAGAGAGGGGGACAGAGGAAGTGGGCTCTGTGCTGACAGCAGAGAGCCTGATGTGGGGCTTGAACTCACGAACTGTGAGATCATGACCTGAGCCGAAGCTGGATGCTTAACTGACTGAGCCACTCAGGCGCCCCCATACAGTGCCACTGTATTCCATGTTGTCCTAAAATAATACTTATCTTCCATCTAAAGATCATGAAAAGTAAGAATCAATGAAATAATAACAAATAAAATACTTTTTCAATTCTAGATGATATCCTTTATATTTCATTAAGAATTAAACGTTATTAAATTTATGTCACTTTGGTCTCAGATCTCATGTTTAATTTTTTAGGACTTTATTCATTCATTTAAGGTATAGTGATTTCCTATTTACCCCTGCCCCCACACACGTGGCCTCCTGCATCATGACTCACCCCCGCCAGAGTGGTACATTTGTTATCATTCACGAACCTACACTGATACATGATACCACCCAAAACCCATAGTTCACACTGTAGTTCACTCTGGATGTCATATATTCCTTGGGTTTGGACAAATGTATACTGATCTGTATCCATCATAATATACACAGTATTTTCACTACCCTAAAAGTCCTCTGCTCCACCTGTTCATCCCTCTCTACACTCTTAACACATGGCAACTACCGATATTTTTAGTGCCTCCATAGTTTTGCCTTTTCTAGAAGGTCATACAATTGGAATCATACAGTATATAGCCTTTTCAGACTGGCTTCTTTCACTCAGTCATATGCATTTAAGATTCCTACATTTCTCTTCATGGTTTCACAGCTCACTTCTTTTTAGTGAGGAACAAAATTGCATTGTCTGGATATGCCATACATAAGGTATCCATTCAACTACGGCAGGGCCTCCTGGCTGCTTCCAAGTTTTGGCAATTAGGAATGAAGCTGCGGTAAATATCCATGGGCAGGTTTGTGTAGACATGAATTTTCACCAATGCTGGGTAAATACCAAGGTATGTGGCTGCTGGACTGTATGGCAAGGATATACTTGGTTCTGAAAGAACTTGCCAAATTATCTTCTTACGTGGCTGTACCATTTTCACCAGCAATAAGTGAGAGTTTCTTTTATTTGTTTTTACATTTATTTATTTTTGAGAGACAGAGACAGACAGAGCCCAAGTGAGGGAGGGGCAGAGAGAGAGGGAGACACAGAATCTGAAACAGGCTCCAGGCTCTGAGCTCTCAGCGCAGAGCCCGATGTGGGGCTCGAACCCACAAACCGCGAGATCATGACCTGAGCCAAAGTCAGACGCTTAACTGACTGAGTCACCCAGGTGCCCCTATAAGTGAGAGTTCCTGTTGTTCCACATCCTCATACCCACTCGGTATGGTCAGTGTTCTGGAATTTGGCCATTGTAATAGGTGTGTGGTGATACCTTATGGTTGTTGGAGTTTGCATTTCCCTGATCACAGAGTGGGGCATCTTTTTTATATTCTCATTTGCCACCTATAGATCTTCTTCAGTGACGTGTCTGTTAAGTAAGGTCTCTGATCTGTTTTTAATTAAATTTTTCTGTTGTTGACTGTTCGGCTTCATTTTCTGATCTACTCTAACACTAAATGCTTTATGTGACAATTAAAATAGATTTCAGTAGAAGATATACTAAGTGAATTTGATTTTATTTTCATCTTGGGTAACAGGTGCAGGCTTTTATCTTATTTTATCAAACTACAAGTCCTCAAATTAGGACTGTCAACACTGTCTGCTACTTGAGATAGCAATGAACAGCGATCTGAGTCAACAGCCAGTTATTCCCGGAGACGTGAGGGGCGGGGACTGAAAGTGAATCACAGAGCGCAGGGCCGCAGGAAATGCTGCTTCCTGAATTTGCCATATCCTCTTACTTCATTTACTCCTCACCCTGCTTGACCCAATCTTGTTCAAACATCGGAGGGAGGCACTGAGGCTCTGACATTGAGAAGGATGGCGATGCTAATCGTAGTACTAAAAGTAGGAGTACCAGTCACCACAGTCCTCACTGTATGGCGGGCACTAGCTAAGGGCTTTCCATGTTATCTTTCCTGGCCCTCAATGATCTTGGGTCATTCTTGGTCACACACGTGTACAACGGGCCTTCTGCTGGAGTATTAAGCCTCCAGACACAATGTGTACTGTTTTTACAATTCGTCAGCAGAGGGTCTGGGATTTAGGGACAGGACATGCTCAGTGGCTCAGAGCAGCAGAAATTACAATATTCTCCCCAGTGAAAACAGGGAGGGGCGGTGCAATATGCCAAAAGCAAAACCAAATCATGACCGTTGCCTGTTTTTCTTAGTAACTTACAAACAAGAACATCTAATGTGAACAATTAATGAAGGAGAGCCCACATTTCCCCAAGCCACCACTTTTTGTTTCCATCAGCACTAAAAGAAGCCAACTAACCTACAGACATATGTATGTTGGACTTTAGACCTTTAACTTTCAAGTCTGTTTTTTTTTAAAAAAAAAAAAAAGTAGAACTTTTGTAATTACATAAATATGAGTCTTTTTTTCCATTTGAAGCCTCAGACCACAAAATGCCAGTGTTGAGAATAAGCCAGTCCTGGTAGGATGTGGGTCTGTTGGTAGGAAGCCACACCCAGCAACCAGAAATTTATTATGACTCCAACCAGTTCATTTTAATGAGAACACTGTCAATGTTAGGGGAAACGAAGTAAATCTATAATAAAAATGCATTTGTGAAGAAGTTTCAAGGCCTTGGACTTAACTAGATTAGTACTACTGATATAAAATAATTCCTTTCTTACCTTCTTTTTTTAGTATGTGCATATGAAGTCAAAAGACAGAAAACCCAGAGGGAAAAAGTGGAGAAACCGAGGCCTAGAAGGAAGCCAACATTTGAAAACTCTGTATCGATTCCTTTAAAATAATGGAAACTATGAAATATTCCTCTTTCACAATGTACTTGGGCATTTTACCTCTACACATTCAAACTCCTCTCTCCACAAATACATGCATTCTTATTCTCTCCATCATCCCACTGATTTCTAACCAGGGCAAGTCTGTCCCCCGCAGAGCTCATTTAGTAACGTCTGCTGACATTTGTGGTTGTCAGAACTGGGTGAGGGTGCAACTGTCATCTGGTGGATACAGGGCAGGGATGCTGCTGATCGCCCGACAGTACACACCTGACCTGCAACAACACAGAATGGCCCATCCCCCACGGCAGTAGTGGCTCGCGGACAAGCCCTGCGCCGCGGGGATGACAGGTAGCTGGTGCCTCAGGAGAAGAACGGGACGCGAGAGGGTTCCGGAGAGACCGTCCGCTGCCTCCCCAGATGCCGTACTGACAGCACAGCGCACACTGGCAAGCTGGTCAGCTGGAATCAACTCGGCATTCTGTGACTCGGGAAAGAACATTCCAGAGCGCGAAGCCAGGGGCCTGCTTGCGAACACCAAGATGCAACTTGCAGAGCGTTAAGGTTCGCGGAAAGAATTCTCGGTCTGTGGCTCGGCGTTAGTAAGACGACCAGTGCCCACAAGAACAGCACAGAACAGGTTCCAAAGCACCCGAAACCGGGACAGCTCCCGCGTCCTATTTCCGCACGGCATCCTTCTAACATGTTCAAATGAGTCGAGAAGAGCACTCTCCGACCCTTATGACGGTTTTGCACCCTACGTGTATCAGGTCATCACACCCCATGCCTTCGACTTACACGACGTTATGCGGCAACTACATCTCAAGAACCCTGGGGGAGAAGAATTTCCACATTTACTTGAGAGACAAAGAGAGAAACAAGTTGCTGTTCGCACGGTTAAGGCACAGAACCTGCTCTGGAAGCCCCCTACAGCACGTGGAGAAGCAGCACACACGTGATGGCCAGCAAAGCAGCCTTTCGCTCTCTCTCGAAGGCAGCGGGTACTCACAGGCTCGGTTCCGGGCTTTGTACGTGCAGGTGTAGAGGCTGCAGGGCCGCGCCGGCAGGAAGCTGGGGATCTGGAATCTTCTCCACGGTGACCTGCATGGAGAGGCCTGCAGAATGGCCCTCAGGCTACTCATCACCACCATGCTTAGCCTGAAATCTCGATCAGGCCCCAGTAATGTGCAGGAAGCCAGCAACCTGCAGGGACGAAACAGAGGGGGTGAAGCTGTGAACGACTGAGGGTGACCATCATCGGAAGCTGAGTAGGACAACAACATTCGGACTATGAACACACATGGCGGGGAGGGGTGAAGGGGGAATGAGTCAAGAGCTAATCCACTCCTCTTCCTCAAATTCATTCGTCACTTCATTGGCAGGATCTGGATGACTGACTCAGGAGCCCTGCCTTTCCTTTAGGGTTGGCAAATATTAGAGATCCAGAGAAACCATTTTTTCTTTACCCACAAGAATGAAAAGACCGTTTACAGTAGTTTCTTCAAACAAACAGAAAAACATTCATTCCCTGAAAATCAAGTTGGATATCCAGCATGGTATTTATATATAAGAAGTTATATATAAATTAGTGCTCCAAAGATTAATGCTCCTTCCAGACGGCCTGAGTAAAAAATTGGATAAATAGATTAAAAAAAAAAACAACAACATCGATCTGTATGTGGATTGCTTTAAAAAAAAAAAAAAAAGAGCAAGGATACATCCTGTCAAAATAGTCAGGCGCAGTTTTGAAATCTAGGCTTAAATGCTCTGTGACTCTTTGCCAGTTTTATGCGTAACAGTATATTCCTCAATCATGGGGGAAAGGAGGTTAATCCTGAACTAATCTGCAAGTAGATTCGATGTGAATATTCATTTCTGACTGCACTGATGACCTCTCTTCCCCTCACATGCTCCTAGTCAAAGTTCCCTAAGACCATGCTTCCCATAAGGGTTCAGAAATTACGATATTAATTTTCACTGCCTCTTTCCTGCCTCCCCCAGCCCCATAACGCCTCACCCATTTTTCTTGAAAACTCCTAACCCTATACCAAGTAGGCAAACAAGGTCAGAAACGAACCTTTTTTTTTTTTTCTTGGTTACATACTCACTCCAGCATAGATTTCAGAGTGTTTGCAGTGATTACTCGAGATGCATTCTGGCAGTTATTGGAGACGCCATCTGAGCAACCATGAGTGACGCTTGGCTGCGTGGCGCTGTGCCCCCGCCGCCCCATGTCCAGTGCCTGCTCCTGCCTGGGCACCAGCCACCCGGATGCCGGCTCTTCCCGCTCCCCACGCTCCCTCTGGGCTCCCTCTGGCCTCAGGGCCGGTGCAGATGCTCCTCCTTCCCTGGAGCACGCTCCCTCCATCCCCGCCTGGTTCATTCCCCTCTGTCTCCAGGTGTTCCACCCCAGCATCACTTCCTAGGAGCCTCCCCTGCCCGGGCCCTCACCACGGGGCCTCCCTCACGGTGCTTCCTGCAGTCGGATACCCGATCAGGAATGTACTTTAGGACGCCATCTTCCTGGCAACGGAGCCCCGTGGCGGTAGGGACCGTGTCTGTCTCTCTCACAGCCGCATCTCTTCTTGTCTGGCACCTGATGGCCACGCAGTGACCTGGCCGCACTTCCTTGGCGACGGAAAAGGTGTGGATCTTAACTTCAGAAGCCGCAAGCTGTGAAGTGATTGCCAGCATGTTCTCAGACAGTACGAAGGGTTTTCCTTTTCCTAGATGCCACCATCACCCGTTTGTGGGGGCATTTACACTCCTGAAACACTTTCAAATGGCTGTCATTTAAGGGAAAGGCCCCATAGCCCTACCCGTAGGACCTGAAGGCCCCCGAAGTTCTGCCCGATCTGAAGGAGGAAATTACCTAAGTATGAACCGAAGCTGGTCTCACAGGGATGGGAGTTCTTCCATCAGGTCAACATCCATCGTCATTTCCTGTGTTCCAGCCACCATGCTGGGTGCCGGGGTGCAAAGCCTGACAATGCACGAACTCTACCTTCCCGGCGTGCAGTTCTTTTCTCCTGCTCGGAGCCTCCTGAAATGCACATCATACTGGAAGGGAAACCGGGACTGCTCAGGTTCTGCCTTCAGCCTTTTAGCGGCCTCTCAACTGTCTGGCAATGGGGCCGGGGGGCAGGAGAGGAGGCCAAAGGCATAAAAAGAGAAATTATGATCCCTAGCAATGCTGAGCAATGAGGCAAATGTTCTCATTTCACCCTCTCCTGTCTTCGTGTACTTCACGCTTTCAATCGGCTATGAACTAGCTCTTCTCCTTTGTGCTCCTGTCCTTAACGTTGCTAGATCTTAGCAAGAGGAGAGAAGTCTACATCTGAGGGAAAGGAGAGAGAAAAAAAATCACGCATGAAATGTGTCCCCTGGAAGCAGGAAGGAGAGTTACTCCCTGTTACCACCTGAAAGGAACACATGAAGGCTCCAGGAAGAACCCTTTAGGGCCATCAACAAGCCACGCGTCTGGACAAGCACTGTGAAGGGAACTGTGCCAAGAAGCCAGCCTTGCAGCCCGGTGCCATGCACCCTGTGTACACCTCATTTTGCCAACGAACACACCGAACACAGGAAGCAAAGATGCGTGGTCGCCGCATTAAAGGGGACTTGGAGACCGTTCTGAATCCCATGGAGGCTCCTCGCTTGGCAGGACTAACTCCTTACGGGGAGTCTCTAGGCCAGTGACACCGAAAGTACGTGTGCACTGCCGACAGTATCAGAAATTCTCAAACCAACATTAAATCACTCTTGTTTAGTTTTATGTGTTGTGTGTGTGTGTGCGCACACGCGCTCGCACACACACACATTCTGGGGCGGTATGTCAATATGTACCTTCCTTAACCTATGCAGATTTCAAATATAGATTGGTAATAAACTTTCAAGATATCATCTTGTTTCTTTTAATGTTTATTTATTTTGAGAGAGAGAGAGCATTTGTGCACATGCACATGAGCTAGGGAGGGGCAGAGAGAGACAGAGAAAGAATCCCATGCAGGGCTCTATGCTGAGCTTGATCCCATGGCCGAAATTAGGAGTCGGATGCTCAACTGACAGAGCCACACGCCGTCCCCCAAGATATTATCTTGATAGTGCCTTGAGCCAAATAAAAGTACCTCATTTTCAAATCCCTTCATTAACTGAATTAACTGAGCAGGTGTATGAAATAATAGACCACTGGCTACCTCCTTTCAGAATCTATTCCTTTTTTGTCCTTAATTTTTTCTTTTGGCAAACTTCAAATTTGTACAAACAGTGGAAATACTATAATAAAACCACCTCTATACCCAATACTTTATTTCAACAATCATCTGTTGGTGGCCAAGCATGTTTTATTTCTACCCTCCCTCCTACTTCCCCTCTCTGTATTACTTTGAAGCAAATGGTGGACATCTTAGAGACTTAACCATGATTGTTTTCCATAGGAAAATATCTCCAAACTTATTGTTTCTTTTCCAGAAAAATCATCTGTACGAAATAGCCTCTGGTGTCGTTTATGGGGAGAATATGAAAACAACCAAGTTTTCCAAAATTAAAAACAGCAAAACAGCCCAGTAACCTGATATTTTCTCAGGACCTGCCTATCCCTTCATGTAAACATTTCACCTCTCTCTTGATATCTCCACCCTAATCTTGGATTAGAGCTCACGTCAAGACCTTTATGCTCTTTCTAACTTGTAAGACTATGTGCAGCATGAAACTGTATAATTTATCATTGCAGATCAGCAGAGTACAAGGATTATATGAACTGAAATATGTAAGAGTAAGGCTTAATGTATACCTTTGATCTTATGCAAGAAAGAATCCAGAACCAGAGGAGGAGAAACATTTGTTCAGTAATGCTATATAAGACGTTGACTCTTTCTGAGACTTCAAATAGTCTAAGGGCTGAAAAAGCTCTCAAAAAAGCTGGTAAGTGTTGTATAAATTAAAGTTCTTATTATTCAAACTGGGTTTGCTAAAGTGCTACTCATGCTATAAATGAAAACCCTAAGAACACAGAAAGCAGTTTGGGACAATTTTTAATTTCATGTTTTTTGTTTTCTTTTTAAGACAATACCATTAAACAATTCCAACTACACAGGGTTCTTTCTGATAAAATCAATTTGATAATGACATTTTTTTCTTTCTTCTAATGTTTATTTTTGAGAGAGAGAATGAACAAGCCAGGGAGGGGCAGAGAGACAGGGAGACACAGAATCTGAAGCAGGCTCCAGTCTCTCAGCTGTCAGCACAGAGTCCAATGTGGGCTTGAACTCATGAACCGTGAGATCATGACCTAAGCCGAAGTTGGACGCTTACCCAACTGAGCCACCCAGGCGCCCCAACAATAAGATACATTTTAGAAATTGCTAAAAGGTATAGGGAAATCTTGCCTGAATTCTGTGCTTCTTTCGATTGATTTCCATCCCTGACTTGAAGCAACGAGTGATTAACTCATGCAAAGCACTGGGCTGGGTGAATATGAAAAAGTCATGTTTTCTCCCCATTCCCTCAAGCTTACAATCTATAAAAAAAAATGTAACTTTTCTGGCTTTTTTTAGTTACCTTTTTATATTATGGGAAAATGTACATAATATTTATCATTTTAACCTTTTTTTAAGTGGACAATTCAGTGGCATGAAATATCACATTCACAGTGGTGTATAACCATCACCATTACCTATACCCCAAACTTTCATCATTCCCGACGTCAACTCTATCCCTGTTAAACAATAACTCCCCATTCCTCCCCACCCCCAGCACCCAGCAACCCCTGTTCTACTTTCTGTCTCTAAGTATTTGCCTCTTCTAGATAATTCATGTAAGTGGACTCATACAATATTTTCCCTCTGTGTCTGTCTTATTTCACTTAGTATAGTTAAACAATACTTCCTAATCAAAGCTAGATGTGATGACAAGTCTGACTTAATTCAATGAGAGTACAGAGGGCAGAGGCTCTAAATTTTAGGAGGGGGCAACATCTGAGCCATGTGTCACAGGAGAGAGACAATTTGAACAGGAGACGCAAAGGTAGAGAGATAGACAGGGGCAATGCCAGGGATGATGAGAACATCTAGGGAGGCAGGAGTGTTTAGGAGTCAAGGCTGGAGAGGACAGCTGGGGTTGAAATGGGCAGAACCTTGGGCTTATTCAATAATCAATTTCAGTGTCAGAAAGAGGTTGGCAAACATGTAGCAAAGGACTCCTTTCTTGCTTACAATCTAGATGGAAAAGGAGACTTAATAACTCCCAGGAACACAACGATAAGTACAACATATACTCAAAAGAAGGGACACGCTGGTTTGTCCTTCAAAGGGAAAGCTGAGATAAGACACAGCCAAGGGCATGCCTCACTGCCAAGTGGGCACCCACGTGGCCCTGCATCAGAGGCTGCGTGGGGATCTAAAGGGTGTTAGCATGGTGCCCGGAGAAGTCTGGGTGAATGATCCTTGGTCTAGCACCACAGACAGCTGTCAAGAAAGTACTGTGGCATGGCCAGGGCTGTGCTCGTTCCTTGGGCGACTGTCCCGCTCTCTGCAGTCATGCCGTCTGTGCACAACGCTGAGGCTGGTGGCTGATGACACCTGGCCCGGAGGAAGTATCTCCTGCCCATTTCTGGACTGGCTCTCCAGGGGTAAGGGGGACACCCTCATCCTCCTTCACAAAGCCCACCCAGTTGTGGGCTGTATGTAGGGATCTGGAAATCGGAACCTCTATCTGTCTTCTAAGATTGCTGCTGACTTCACTGCAGTGAACATAATCTTTGAAGATTCTTTGTGTTTTTAGATTAAAAAAAAATCCTGTTTTGTTACAAAGCCAAGTGTATCTGAATTCCCCACTATCCCAAGCCTGTTATGAATAGTTGTTAAGGTGTTGGCCAAGCAGATACCCAGGGGATGCAGTGGAAGGTGGGCCTGGGTGGGATTTGAGATTAACTAGAAGAACATGAATTTCCAGGAGACTGGAAGACCCTCAGGCATTATTATTCTATATATACAGGATGGTTTCTGATGATTGCATGTGCACAGCGCAGGATGGAGGGGAGTGGGCAGAATGGATGCGGGAAGGTCAGTGACAGGAGATTCCTTCAACCATCCTTCATCCAATCCATCGCTCTTTTATCGTTTCATTCATCAGGACAGCAATCGAACATCTACCAAATGCCAGACACTGTTCTAGGATCACCGAGGAAATAAAACAGAGTCCCTGCCCTGGGGGGAATTACATTCTAGCCAGGGAGACAGATAATAACAGCAATGTCATACATAAGTCAGTTGCACGGACAATTAAATTAAAATATATTCAGTGAAAAGTAGAGCGGGATGAGGTGATTCTGGAGGGCCACTGGGAAAGGAGTGTTGAATTTAAAATAAATTGCTTAAAGGAGACCTTACTGAGAAGGTGAAGTTTGAACAAAATATTGAAGGAAATGAAGAAATTTTTTCTGGGGGGTATTGGGAGGAAGAGTATTCCAGGAAGATGGAATTGCCTACGCAAAGATCTTGAGGCAGAGCATGTCTGGCACATACAAGGGGTAGTAAGGAGCCCAGCATGGCAGGAGCAGAGTACTAGCAGGACGGTAGTAGGAGGTAAGGTGGAGAGACCATGAATGCCAGATCTAGTAGATTTCTAAGCCACTGTAACTGCTCTTTCTCTAATTTAGCATTTCTCAACCTTGGCATTGTTGACATTTGGCCAGATACCTCTGTTTTGGGGCTGTTCTATACACTGCATGGTGTTTAGCAGCATCCCTGGCCTCTACCTATTAGATGCCGATGACACCCTCCCTCCAACTGTGACGACCAAAAATGTCTCCAGACACTGCCGATGTATCTTGGAGAAGGGGAATCACCCCTGAGTGCAAAGCCTGCTCTAAGCGAAATGGCGGACACAATGGAGTTTTAGGAGCAGAGAAAGGACACAACCTGATTTATATCTTTACTAGATCATTCAGGGTGCCCTACTG